ATAGATAATTTCCATGAAAAACAAAACCAAATGGACACCAAACTTTCAACATTTTTCAGGTGAAAAATTATACTAATCAAACACAATTAATTACAATTCGTAACAAAACAAATTCCAGGCAATTGAATTCTCTGTAATTCATTTTCTTTACACCTTCTCAATCAAACGGACCCTAAAAGTTCATGTTAAATTAATCGGTGCATTTTATATAAACGAGAAAATTTGGTTTTGTCATACCAAGTGACATTTCTCGTCATATGTATTGTTCGACACATTGTTAGATGTCAATTTGGGACGACGGATGTGAATTTGTGATAAATTAAAAGAAAATTTTTAGTTTATCGATTTTGATTAGATCAAAATAATAATTCACACCGTTACGCATCGTAATCGGAAATCTAGTGGGTCGTACATAAAAGGAGAACTATAAGAATGAAATTCACAAATTAATTAATTAACAAGTGTTGGATAATTAATTAATTAGGTTGCTTGTTAATATGCCCCGAATTAATTGATTGGATTAATTAATTCATGAACCAAATTTAATTAATTGGATTAATTAAATATTGGATCGAATAAAGTTTAAGAAACGTGCTAAGCCCACTTGAACTTTTATTAGTAAGCTTTGAAAATTCAATATACAGCACGATTGTATTCTTGCTAGCACAATAAAAGATATACACTAGTTCTCTCAATCTTGTTAATTGTGTGGATTTACATTGGAGGTTAGACAAGTTGACAACTTTGGATTGGAGACCAAGATCGTTCATGTTGAAGATAAATAAAGGAGTTCGCAGGATTCAACAAATTTACAATTGTTATTACAGTTTCTATACAAACAAATAGCATATTCGTGATGGAATTTGAAATTTATTTTATTAAACACTGTGCATGATGTCTCATGTTACCTATCTTATACGAATTTGAACCCGATGTTAATACCCAGAAAATTATCTTCTATTGTTTTCGCTTAGAAAAGCATTCCCAAATTTAATAGCAATAGGAAAGGGTTATTTCTATTCGCAATAACTAGACTTTTATTCGTGTTGATTAGGTAATTGTATGTCAATTTTGTTTAATTGAGTAACTTCACATCAACATAATTCCAATTTGGTAACTTCGTTCAATTCTATCACTGGACTAAGGAAAGTCAATAAATGATGACTGTCATTTATTTCACTAAAGTTGTACATATTCCATGTTGGTTGCTGACTGTAACATATGATGATCATCATTTATTGACTGTCACCTAATCAATTTTCGTCAATGAAAATGGACGAAGTTACCTGAATTGAATCAAATCAAAGTCTAATAACTCAACTAAAATTAAAAATAGTGTAACTATTTGATTGAACAAAATTGAATATGACAGTTCTTGAATAAAATCAAGGGCATTAAAGCCCTAATGCAATTCATAAGGAGCAAAACTGCTTGTAGGTTTCATCATGTGGGATCAATTTTCTTGTTTTTTAATTGGGGTTAAAATACTTTAGCCATTAAATTTATCACTTTAATAGTTGTTATTCTTTTCAAATTAATCACTGGACTTCTACTCTTGTCATTTAAGCGCTCATCTCTATCTGTTTATAGTAAGTGAATACTAATGTGACTTATGAATTGTCCGCAAAAGTGCAAGTGCGATTTCGATGTGAAAATTAAAGGTTAAATAAAAATCTCTCTCAAATAAAAGTAAATAAAATAAATACAAAAATCAACTGCCACAAAGAAAGCTCATGTTAATTATAATCAAATCCCCCCCCCCCCCNATTCTGAATATCAAAATATGTTCGAAAATAGTTTCTTAATCTCAAAAGTAATTTTTAACATTTTAAAAATCCTGACAAACGGACCCTAACGGTAGCCGAAGCCCTAGAATTATTAATCCTTCTGGAAAAAGAAAAAAAATAGAAAGCGTGGAGCGTCCGCCATTGTTGAAGATGGCCGAGAGTTAAAGAGATTTCCGTTTGATTCTGGAATTTATTTAGTTGAATTAATTGTTTCTCAATATCAGCCAAAACTTGCTTTTTCCCCACAATTCACGAGATTACTGTACAGCACACGAGAAAAAGAGACCGGAATTCATGGCTTTTTCTTCATTTCTTAATCATTTCTCTGACCCTTGAAGCATCCAATGCCATTTCTCCCACAAAATAACATAAACTATACTGGAAACAAAAGTCAAGAGCTTTGGATTCTACACTTTGACTTTAAATATGACAAAACTAAAATATTATACTAAAGTATTTGTATGTATAAAGAAAAATTCCATGCACGAGGGTTAGATGCACGGGACACTTGCAGAATGTCAAACTTTTTTAAGCGAATGAAAAATGCTAGTTTTTGCTTTATGGAAGTTAGTCACTCACTCCCCTTTCACACATTTATTCAATATTTTGTTAAGATCTTGTATTTATCTGTCTTCGTATTAATTGCGTTGCCGTGTTAAATTTGAGGTAAGACTCGACTAATCGTCAAGTCAATCTCTCAAGAAAAGTAATTTGAAATCGACAAAACAAAATGCTCGATTAGACTACTATAGCTTGTTTTCTCTAAAGGGCTGAGAAAGTGTAGGATTAGTACTTATTTCCGATTTCACACAACTAAGGACCAAAATTTGTACATTTTTGCTAGTACTAGCAAGTCCTTAAAAGCTTCGCCTGAGTTTAGGCCAACGGAGACTATTATAGATGATTACCTATGTTACATTCATCAAAAGCCAAGATGATAGTCCATGTTGAGAGTAAAATTTCGTAAGATGCTCGAACACAAAATTGAAGGGTCTCTGATATAGTCGAAACTCGAGAGTCGACTAAAAACAACAGTGGCATTGATGCATTGGGATCAAAAGAGACATGAGTAAAAAGAATAGTAAAATTGAGCATAGGGTCCCTTTGTAATGTTCTTTTGTTACAAGAAGTCAGCAAAACCCCACGGCGCCGGGATGACAGGGATTTCTCCTTTCTTGGGTTCTGTTGCGGCCTAATTAACATTTACCTTTTCGGCTTTTTCTTTTTTTCTCCCATTCCCATCCGTGACAACAAATATTTTGTCAATGCATTCTTCTACTTTACTCTTTGTCAACCCCAAATTCTAACTAGATAAAAAGCCCTTTAGGAAACTTCCTCCTTACTCACACACTCCTTTATATTGTCCTCGCCCAACATACTCCAATCTTGCATTTTGTACTTTGTTTAACACCCCACAAAGCATATACTTGCTAAGTTCTTGAGTAAGTTCAAGAAATGGACAGAGGTCAAAAGAGAAAATTACCAGTAATGTGTGAAGATGAAGGTGCGAGATTTCCATTGGATGAACTAAATCAAGATGTTCTTGAAAGGGTTCTTTCATGGCTGCCAACCTCTACTTTCTTTCGCAATACTTCAGTGTGCAAGAAATGGAAATCAGTGGCAGATTCTGCTACTTTCAAGCTCGCCTGCTTACAGATTCCAGCCCGGGATCCCTGGTTTTTCATGGTTGATTCTCAATCCCACCTCAATTACCACCCCATTGTCTTCGACTCTACTGAAAAAGCCTGGAAAAAGCTTAATTTCTTGCCACTCCTTCAAGAAGATCAGTACCAGGACTCTTGCAGCAATTTCATTCCCGTTGCAGCATCAGGTGGACTGATCTGTTTCCACCGTGCACCTGGTGAATTCATAGCCTGCAACCCTGTAAACAGCTCGTGCCGTCGGCTAGCCTCATTAGATTCTCAGTGGCAAAAAAGCAAACAACTTCAGGCCATTGCAATGACCTCCACAACCGCATCCTTCAAGCTCGTGTCAGTCTCCGGGGAATACCCATATTCAACCCTCTCTTTCAGAACCTACAACTCCAGCACTGATCAATGGGAAGAAGACGCCATCCTCAATAGAAAGATTGACAATCCTGTTGAAACTGAAATCGAAACCGAAGATGATTACTCAATGTATTTCTTGAGCAAGTGTGGGAATGTAATTTCCACAAATTTGCAGAGGAACCCATGTAAGCAGTATTCATCAGCAATCATCCATAAAAACGACGAGGAAATTCTATATTTCCTAAGCTCATCTGGGACAGTTGTGTCCTGCAATCTCACACATAAATTCTTCTTCGAGTATCCAAGAATACTGCCTGTCTTCTCGGAGTACGCAATCGACATAATCGAATGTGGAGGAGAAATCTACGTCGTAGTTCTTCACGAATTCCTGGAAACTGCCACCCTCCGCGTGTGGAAATGGGATGAGAAAAATCAGTTCTGGGTTCAGATTGCAGCAATGCCATCGGCAATGTCCCATGAGTTTTACGGCAAGACAGTTGATATAAATTGCACCGGAACCGGCACCGGGCACCAGATGTTAGTCTGCCTGAATTCTGCAGAAAATTATAGCTACGTTTTGTGCAATTTGGTGAGAAATGAATGGATTGAATTGCCCCAATGCTATATGAATGGGGAATCCAAAGAATTGGTGTGTGCATTTTCTTTTGAGCCTAGGATTGAAGCTTCCTTGTAGTTAGTTGGATCGACTAATCCATGTTGTTGTTCAAGATTTTTTTAATTTGTTTGATATTTGGATGTTGTGGGATTTATTTATTTTTTTCTTTTTCATGAAGTTTGATGTGAAAAAAGGTTGACTAGAAACCATAATGTGAATAAATTTATCTATCAAAATAAAGGGATTCTTCGTATAATCATTCAATGTATTCTTGATCAAAATATTTGGTTTTCAAGGGAGTCGTAAGTTCAAAATAACTAAGAAAAATTGTAAATGATATGGTTAAAATCAGAATATTCGAGCCTAAAGTTGCAGCAGGCACCTCCTTGATAGTAATGGTCCAAGTAACATGGCTATTAGCTCGAAGCTCAGAGCCAAAAACATGCCTCGAGCATAATGCACAACGGTTTTATATTAAGCGTGATCATCTCAGTTATAGGTGATAGATTACCACTGAAACTCCACCATTCAGATGGTGTATTTCTACTACATCGTCAATTCATTAAAGAGAAATGCTATTCATCCCCATTGGAGATGCATCCCCAATCTATGTGGCGTTAATGTAACATTAAATGATAGGTGAAATTAAATAAGTTATTTAATTTCACCTATCATTTAACTAATCATTTACATCCACATAAACTAGGGATGCATCCCCACTGGGGATGGATAGCATTTTTCTTCATTAAAATATATGTAAGTAGTCCCATGACTAGGAATTCACTAGTTTATGTAGTCGTTTGCAGAAAAAATTTAAGTCGGACAAAACTTGATAAGGTCTATAGCTGTGACAAATATTAATTCCAAGTACATTGCTCACTGTAGGGGTAAAGTTTGTCATTTTCTAACAAGTATAACAAAAAATATGCAAAAAGTGGTAGGCAGCCAAGACAAAAAAAAAATAAAAAGGAGTGCTACTTGTAATAAAAATTTTGGTTGCCAATCAAATGGGCTTGAAAATCCCACAGAGCTCTCTACAATACCTCAGAAGTTGGACTAGATTTTACCCATTAAAGAAATTAGGTCCATTAAATGAGACAACCGTCTGGGCCCTTGAAGTCCAACTGACTACCAATTTATTTTCGAGAAAAAAATCATAAATATCATATTTTAAATCAGATCATAAATTATATTTATTTTTCCTAAAACTTATATATTCATGGATTTATATAAGAAAATATTGTGACTTAAAATAAGTGTTATTCTTTCAGCATAATCAATTTTTTTTCCGTCGTCTAGTCTCAGTATCTTCTTCATTTTGTTGACTAAGGAGATCTAAACGTTTATTTACAGTCTATTTTTACGTTCACAATACTATAAGTTTTCATGATAGATAATTCGGTGATTTACAGATAATTTCCCGATTATTTACGTATAAAATTAAGGGAATTTTCGGCATCGACAATCATAAATTTACATATGCATGTGAATATGAAGAATGTGACCTGGATTAGGTGGATGTGAAAACTCGTACTTCATCCGAAAATTGTGTATATCCCTGTTGTTCGTATATTTTGGCAGTGGTAACAGTTAAAATTAAGGCTAAATGTTTCTTTTAGACAATGTGATGTGACATTTTGCGAATGTGAGTGTGTGACCTATAAGATTGTAAGATTGTGACAGATATTTTGATCATGACGCATATTTTCTAATCATTTACATATGCGTGTGAATTTGAAGAATGTGACAGAGATTAATTCGATGTGAAAATTGTGATTTCATCTAAAAATTGTGCTTATCCAGGTTATTCATACTCTTTGGCAATGGTAACTGCAAAATTCAGAGGCTTCAAGTTTGCTTATCCAGTGTGATTGAGACTGACAAGGTTGTGCGTATGTGAATGACATTCTTATTTAATGTTTGCATTTACAATGTAAGAATGTGAGATAAAACGTGTGTCCTTGAAAATGTATCTTAGTGCGAAAAAGGTGACCTGATTTCAATTAGAATGTTTCATTAAGGACATAAGAAGGAAGACGTTGAATCTGAATGTTAAAAATACATCACCATACTAACGTATTGCAAATTGTTTATGTGCACATTTACTTCGACAAATTAGAGGGGTCTTACTATCTATAATGAAGGTCAGCAACTGTAGGGAGTTGAACTCAAAATTACCTCAATTATAGTCTAAAGAAAGTTCAGGAGAAGTTTTGTGATATAAACTAAAATACATAAAGCAAGGTCGGAAGCTCGACCGAAGGTCGTCATCATTAAAAGACATCATTATTAAGATGTCCACCAAGTGACATCATCACCACAAAGATTGACAATCTTGGAAGGCCTCATGTCATTTATGACATCGGCACCTCTCATCCTACCAATCAAAAATGAGCAATGATTACTTAAGAGGTATTTAATCATGATCTAGACCACACCTTTGACCTAGATAGGATGATGACATGGATAATCGAACTTAGTGACCAATCAAAACCCTTCAAAGAGGATAGTGGTATACAATTCGAGGTCGATATTGTAGCTGATATGACGAGAAGGTAAATTGTGTGTTATAAATAAAGCCTATAAATAGCGTGAATGGTCCCACCCTAAGGCCAAACTCAACAGAAAAAACCCTTTGTACCACACTTCTTAAATTATCTCCAGTCAAAAAAAATATTCCTTTATTTTACTTTATTCCAGCAATTGTTACACTAAAATCATTTTAAGTTGACCTAAATTGTCCACACCATTTTTAGTCATTAACAGTAGCCATGACCAATTCTTAATCCAAGATATTAACAACATATAACTAGCGTACCACATTTTTATCGAAACATAATCAAAATAATATAGATGAATATTTTATAGGACAAAGCAATTCGAAAATCGTGGCATTTAAACCAAAGTACCATCAACATTACAACTATATTTGTTCAATGCTCACATCCACTTTGATGAATCTAAAAGGTTCTTTCTAGGAATTGTGCCTTCACTTTCATAGATTTTATGAAAATCAACAACCATGATCCTTGTGGAAAGACACATTTTGTTATTTTATACTACCAACTGTGCAGCCATTTAGGCATAAATGAATTCTCATGATTCTTGTTTCAAAAACTCAATCTCATGTAATGACAGAATTTCTAAACTCAATTTCAAGCCAAATTAATTATGCATACACGTGCCAATTATTGAATATAATATGCAATTTTATTTTCTTGACATATAATTCCTGATTCATATGCACAACAAATACCAAAATTTATTTTAAGATTGTAGGAGATATTACACCGATAATGTGCATATTATATTTATCAAGAACATGTCGTTAATATGCTTGAAATCGAAATATCATTTGACTTACCGAAATCTAATTTGAGAAGACAAATTAGTGAATTACCGACTTCGTATGTATGAATATGGATTCATCACTTTTCAATCTTGAACGCGTTCCATTCTTTAATTCAAATCTTAGCATGAAATCAAAAGAATATTAGTTACTTTTCGAAATCAAAATACAAAATTAAAATGAAATCGGAAAAGAAAGATGAGATGCAAGTGATGAGATCGGTCGATACAAGTGTTTGACACTTTGTCCTTAAAATGAATTTGCCCCACATCGGTACTAATGGTTTCTTGACAATCATCTCCCAAGATACAATGGTCATGTCAAGCCATACGAGCACTCCAAATGACTTAAACCAACGAACTCGAACGGAGTTCCCTCTCTACCATAACCATGATCTTGACGCAAGAAATAATCACTTCTACAAAGTGTTTTATGCAAAACTAAATTGTAAACATGTAATGAAATGATATGGAACTATCAATTGAATTGTATTTTCTAGTCCAAACACATGTGGGTCTATATATAGTAGTTGAAAATGTTTGTCAAAAAACACAACCATACCAAGAGAAACATCTCTTGAAATTAAGATACATAATTATTGAAAGTTACTCATACCAAAAGTCATGATCTTCCATATGAAAAGACACATCTTCTAGAATATTTCACAATATTCTACACAATTTTTCCAACAATTTCAAGTATTGAGCGGCTTAAGTTTGGCTTAATTTCTCATTCACCAAACAATGAATTTCGTTTAAATCATTTAAATTGGTCACAACCAATTTCCGATACAAAATTTCAATAAAAGTTAGTACATCCCAAAGAGATCGAAAACCATAGTATTTAACGCAAAATGATCAATCAACCTTGCAAAATACAAGCATCCACACTCAGGGACGGATCTGGCGCATTCAATGTTTTTTAGTAGAAATTATAATTATGTACAAAAAAAAGTTCTTGTGTAATTTTTATTTTTTTTACGTATTAGCCCGACTTGTAATCCGATCTTAGATCCGTCCCTGTACACACTTTACCTGTAAAGTAAAATTAAGAACAAAGAAGAAGATTAAGAGATTAACATGACAAGATAGATTTCTGATGAACAAGGAAAGAGCGACCAAATCAATGACAGCTCATAATGCGTATTGGCATAAGGTTCCTCAATCCTCACCTGTAAGAATTTTCCAAGCAACAATTCCAAAGAAGATGAAATCAAACTCCAAAATAAAAGCAGTAGTCACCAATGTTAGGGGAAATTATATTTTTCTCTATTAAATAGATTAAGAGAAAACATAGGTCACAATCTTCAAATCATATCAGTTACAATGACATACCTTAATTAGTGACTACAACCTTCAAGCTTTTGGAATAATGCTTCAGAATCACATCATATTGGTCACAATCAACAAACCTCTAACTTCACAAACCGGACACAACCTCTTGGAATAATGTTTCCAAATCAAAGGAGAAGAGAAGAAACAAAACAATATAATCAAGAACTTTAAAGAAAATCCAAAGGCTTAAACACGTAATCGTTGTCTTTAAATGATATTTGCCCGGTCTAGGATTTAATTGGTGCTTAAAAAGACTCTTGGCAAATAGTTTGCAAGATTCATCTAGCCTTGAAAAGGAATAAACATTTAAGCACTAGTGAAATTTCTTTAAAACTCAAGAACACAAAAAATAGATTTTTGAATTTGAAAGAAAAGAGTTTTAATCTTTCTTGTGG